AGAAACGTATCGGCACAAGCTAGGCAATAAACACGAAAAAAAAAAACACTTGTAAGTTTAATGATATACTTTACTTGAACCATTGCACCACAACCCTCATCCTCACATCTACACCAAATAAATTTCCTGCCAAATGATCAAGCACACGGTGACTGACAGACACACACACACACACACACGAAAGCACAAGTAGCTGCATATCGTCTCTTGCACAGCAACGAGCGACGTGGCAGCGGACGTGGCTGATAGAACAAGTGAAACACAGTCTTCCGTTCAGGTTCAGTAGTGGAGAACAAGAGGTAGGCGTCACGCGATCCTTGATTGGATAATAATAAGCTTGATGTCAGCCCCCCACCCCCCTCCCACCACCACCAGCCCTCGAGCAGTCATCGTCTGACCTTCAAACAAACGTCTCCATTTGATTTTTATATGGAAATGATTGCATGACACCAACGACGTTTCAATATTACACTTTTCGTTATTACTACTACTACTAATATTGATAAAAAAAATAATAATAATAAATGAAGCATGAGTGAATGACCCGGGAAAATGGAGGTATGGATGCAGGAGTGGGAGTAATGATCACCACCAGACGGACGCTGGGTTAAGAACATAAGAATGGAGGAAACTGCAGCGGGCAGACTGGTCCATACTGGGAAGTCCCATTTACACCCAACCCCTATTGCTCATATAAGCATCCAACCTATGTTTGAAGCTATCCAGCGTATTTGAGTTAATGATGATATTTGGTAACTTGTTCCACTAGTCCACTACTATATTTCCAAACCAATGTTTACCTATTTCGCGCCTAAATCTAAATTTGTCTAATTTAAAACCAATGTTACGAGTTCGCTCCTTGTTGGGTAGTTTGAGTACCTGGGTGATGTCCCTTGTTCAGCCCTGACTTTCATCTATCAGGTCGCCCCTCACTCTACGTCTCTCGAGGGAGTGGAAATTAAGATGCTTTAACCTGTCTCTGTACTCAAGGTTCCTAATGCCTGGGATTAGTCGCCATTCTCCTCTGTTTCGAGCAAATACCACCACCATCCCGTCAACACCACCTCCCCGTCACCACCAGCCCACCCCACCATCCCCGTCACCACCACCTCCCCGTCACCACCACCATCCCCGTCACCACCACCATCGCCGCCACCACCGCCACCATCACCCCGTCACCATCACCTCCCGTCACCACAATCACCCTCACCACCCCGTCATCACCTACCACCACCCTGTCACCACCATCTCCCCATCACCACTACCACCGCCACCATCCCCTTCACCACCACCCCAACTACCCACGTCACCCTACCCCCATCACTACCACCACCCCGTCACCACCACATCTCATAGGCATAGTCGTGAAGGTCTGCCCCATTTGTCATGGAAAAACCTTCGTTTCCAAAAGAATATCGGCAGCGGGTTCCAGGAGGTAGCAGATCACTACCACCTCAAACTAAACAATGGGAAGATAGAAGATGTGGTAGTGAAGAGACTCCGCACCGGTCAACCACTAAAAGCTGAAGCCCGAGTCCTACAGGAGCTGGCCGGGGGTGCTCCACTGTACGGGGTCACAAATAAGCCTCCTGCCCTGGTGATGGAATTTTGCCCCGGGTTAACCATAACCAAGGCGGTAACAGAACTCAATATAGAGGACCTGAAACACGTCCACTACGCCGCCTTCATAGCTATACGGGACTTCCACGCCGCTGGATTTTATAACAGAAGTCTCCACGGCGATAATGTATTAATAAACACGACACTCCCTTTCAAATGCCACATAATCGACGTTGCAGACGCCAAGAAAAGCAGTATTAAGATCTAAGACTTCCTTGACCGCTTAAGGGAGATGATAGAACTACGTTGATTGAACAAAAGCTGTATATAACCCTCATAAGCCAACAAAACCCACTACAATATTAAGTGTTTATCTAAACCCTACACTGTTGTTTATCACCACTAAACGAATTTCAACTCTGACCCAAAACACCCACTCACCGTCGGGTACCGCTGCAACTTACTTATATTTCAAATTCCTAGATTATATTTTTTCCAATTTTTCTGTTTACAAGGATACTCCATTTATGAATTATCCTATTTTATTTTTTGTATCTAATAAAACGTAACAACAAAGGAGAAAAACAAAAGAACAAAGACAAACACAATATTCTCCTCTTCCTTTATCAACTCTTTTTAAAGGAGAGAGAAAGAGAAGAAGACGAAAGAGGGGAGAGCAAGGTTTTCTCGTTCTCTCCTCAATAGAGAGAGAGAGAGAGAGAGAGAGAGAGAGAGAGAGATATCACAGAATGCATCTCACTCCCTTCTACATCTTTTATCTCTTCCTTATTTTCTTATGATGTTCGACACCATCTATCACATAATTCAACATACAAGTGAATTTTATGCCTCTAGAAATTTTTTTTTTTACTCTTGAGGACAATTACTATGTGACGTAAAAGCAACTGACGCTCCCACAAAGACGAACTGTAAACTTAAGTTATTTTCCAGGCATTGCCGTCCCCCCATTTAGTATTTAACACAGTTCATAAAGTTCCTTCATGATTTTTTTTTTAATTTAAGGAACGTTTACAGGAATGTCTTTTACACAATTATGAATCACGTTTATTGTATAGTCTTCATGATACCAGGTCTTGCAGGTCTTGCAGGTCTTGCAGGTCTTGCATTTTTCAACAGTCATACACAGAAAAAAAATCAACACTGCTCTTTACTGAACTCATATACTTTTCCAGGTTCAATTGTTTCAACAAGTCGTAATGCATGTGACCTAAGGAAACAAGATGAACACCGTTACCTTCATTATGAACCTAACCTAACTTAACCTTGGCTCCTTGACCTTATTTCACGTTAGCAAGGATTGGAACTATTCTGGCATTGTTCTCGTGTTGAAGCAATCCTGGCAATGATCGTGCAATGACGCTAACTTAACCTCCCCCTCCTAGGGTTTACACGTGGACTCCATCACAGTGTAGAGGCCTCGGATGGACTCCACTGTGTAAACCCACTCTTATGAGGCCATTGAAGTCAGGCACAGTGAGGTTACTGGACCCAAGAGAACTCGATTACGTCAGTCCACTAGGAGTCACGCGGACACCAGTAGACCCCCGTAAAGGATCTCCCTCTCTGGGGTCTTATAACTAACACATACTATTGATTGAATGCCTCTCCGTCTTAAATTGGACCAGACACCACAACTGTCCCCTTGTTGGATCACGTGACCATGGAGGTTCTCATGTGAGTGGAGAAAAGGGTCGTACATCTCAGGTCACCGGAGCCCATTTAGTAAACAACTCAAGGTCTCTCCACTCACACAGGGTCGAGTTTATCTTGGCGTCATAGTCTACCCTCCCCTGCGGGCTGTTGGCACGTGGATCACTTGTGTTTATCGTGGTCTGAGTCATACTTTGGTTACAGTAACAGGGTGTTGTAGTAGACGACACAAGAGGCTCGTGTAGAGATACACTATGTGGCGACTAACATGATAGCCCCCTCCCCCCCCTACACACACACCAGAACGAAAGTATGACCAAGTCGAGTAGTGCCACGTACACAGGAGTTTATCATTTGTTACCCACACTGACACAGATAGCAACACACATGACAAATTCAACAAAACAACGAGACGGGGCGCACACACACACACACACACACACACACACACACACACACACACACACACACACACACACACACACACACACACACACACCATGTATGCACAAACATACCTGGAAATACTTTCTTTCAAATATCAACTAAATCAAAGATAGTTGATAAAGTTAACACGAAGGAAATGTATCAAAATCACTTACATCTGCGACACAGTACTGTATTACCTTAAACAATTCATCTCTAATGTTTGAGGACACAATACTTAATGAAACAGTGACGAGGTCAACTTAGCGACATACTGTACCTGGAAGGGGAAGGTGATGGCGGAGAAGGGGGCAGGGAACATGTCTCTGGGTTCTGCGGGTGAGTGAGGAGTGATGCCAGGGGTGTATATTGAAGTGGAGAAGATGTTGGGGGTGGGGGGGAGGGTGTAGGAGCCAGGGGGTAGTGTGTATGGCGCGGTGGAGACCTCACACTTGTTACCCCCACTGTTGGTGGCGGCGGGCAGGAGTGGGGGAGGAGGGGCGGTCCCGCTCACCTGCTGTTGCTGTTCCGACCCACCACTAGCCTCACGCCCACCACCACCCTCCCGCCCGCCCATCAACACAAATCTGTTGCAGTCGCCCCCATCACAGCCGTTGAGCAAGCCCACGTCACCTTTCCTGCTGGTGGTTCTCGCGGTGGTGGCGCCGGCGCCGCCCCCTGCAGGCATTGCGGCTCCGGGTTCTGCCAGAAGGGATGCGAAGGAGTGGTCGTTCAGCCCAGGCTCCAGCATCCTGCACAAGCCAGTAGCCACACTCGCTGCCTCAACTATACCGCCTCTCTCTCCTGTACTCACAATACGCCACTATCACCTTACACCCACCATACCATACAACCATACAAGTCTTCACAACATCAAGATTTCCTTCATGTTAAACTCGTGTAGGAAGGTTCATCAAGATGACCTAATTATATCCTTCATTATTAGACACTAAAAACTCAGTTCACTTCATACCGAGGCTTAATATTTTACACCAGTATAATATATCAACAAGTCATCGCACACTTAACGCCACACAATTTATGTTTGTCACTTAATAACACTTCGCAACACTTCTGCACTCCACTGGCTGACAAATGCCCATAAATTACGTTTATGTTAAATGTTTTCTGTATAGTTAAACTTGAAGCACCAACTGGTTATTAAAATACTCGTTTACAGCCTGTGACCAAGGCTGTGGGCAGCGTGTGACACCGAGTCGCAGTGCATGTTAATGTGGAGAACGAGTATATGACGCGTGGAGGGCAGGCGCGAGGTGAGAGCACACACACACACATACATACACACACACACACACGCTGTTCCCAGATTCCCTCGCAGGATAATGGGGAGAGCAGGAGCGGAGGCAGGAGAGAGCGTGGCTGCGGACACCTCCCTCAGTGAGCGGCGGGAGGCTCCACGCTGCGGCAGGTGAGCTACCACCCACAACTTACAACACTAACTGGCATCTGTTACTGGTGGTGGTGGAGCCGTGGCCGCTGGTGGGGAGGTGGGGGGCAGACTGACAGTGTGGCGCAGGGTCGGGGCCTTATGGTACAGCAGCTGTCGCCTGCGTGTGCGCCCATCTGACGGCACACTGCTACTGACCTCCACGCTGCGGGGACATCCTCCTCGTCCCGCGCCCGCCCGCCCTCACACCCACCACCCACGCCTGAACACTTCTCATAATACTCACATTACCAGTTTTTTATTTCTGGTGAGTCTAATGGCGTTTCAAACATAATTATACTTCTAGTCACGTATGGTGACACGTGTAATACTTTCCTGGTGTATTAAGTTAAAGCGCTTAAGGACAAAACAAATATTGTTCCGAAATAATTTTGTTAAAATCTTGCAAGATATTGATTTAGTTGCAAACAAATTGTGATTAAAAATACTGACGTTAATACACTCTTTTCATCAACAGTGAACCTGATCTAGACCCCTGGGTAAACAGTTAACAATACACACACAATAACACTAAATATATTTTCATTAGTCACAATAAGACAAATTACAACACTGTACCACACCACATTGATAACACCAAAATGATTCAATAAACTCAAGTATGAACGGTGAATAATCGTCATAAGAAAAGTTGAAAACAGATTATTTTCAAAGTTACCATTGAATATAATCACACTTCTGCCACCCAGGCTATAGGGATTGTAGTACATCTTAGCAGCCAAGCCTTAAATTCTATAGTGTCCCATCAACATCTTGGGGAGACAGATAGTAAACCTAAAGGAACGATTCTAGCACACACACACACACACACACACACACACACACGTCATGTCAAAGTTCTCCGTGTTTTTTGTCTTGTCTTTACACAGAAACATTAACAGTATGGAATGTCCTGAACCGCTTACAACCCAACTAGTGAACACAACACGAATAATAACAATGGCTTCGAGGCGGTGCTCAGTGTTTGGAACGGTTCCGCCTCGGTATTAAGACGGAAAAAAAAGTTAATTTCGAGGCCTGATGTGCTCTCTCCTTCTCTCTCTCTCTCTCCTTCCCCCCCTCCCCCCCTCTCTCTCCTTCCTTCCCACTCCTTCCTCTCCCCTCCTACTTCCTCCCCCCTCTCTCTCCCTACCTCCTCCTTCCCTCTCTCCCCTCTCCTTCCCTCCCCACCCTTCCTTCCAACACTATATTACTGAATGTGACACTGTCAAAGACTTCAGGCCACCTCTCTTATTGTATCATGAACTTTGTAACTACTACATCGAATCGGGTGTGCTTGAGGACATTCTTGCTGTTTATCCCAAATTTGCTAGATCACACTGATTAGTCTTCAATTAGAATATGACGTCCAATGTATATGAACCACTGTCTTGCATGGCAGCGAACAGTGACAGCACCCGCACGACTCTGACCTATATATACTGCTAATGAATATGATGTATTTCTTTGCGTACGAACCTCTGTCCTGCATGGCAGTGAACAGTGACATTACCAACATGAATCTGACCTCTATATATATATATATATATATATATATATATATATATATATATATATATATATATATATATATATATATATATATATATATATATATATATATATATATATATATATTGATAAAATACACGGGAAAATGGAAATAACGTTGTTTCCATTTTCCCGTGTGATTTATCAAGATTTATCTTATCCACGTTTTCATTGTGCATTTACATGAAATATATATATATATATATATATATATATATATATATATATATATATATATATATATATATATATATATATATATATATATATATATATCTGTTGATGAATATGTTGTATTTCTTTGTGCATGAACCTCTGTCCTGCTTGGCAGTGAGAAGTGATCCCACCCTCAGTGTCAAGACCTGACTGAATTACTCAGAATAGGCAAACTGTACTACAAGCTTTGCCAATAAATATGTTTAACTAAAACTAACCTTCCTTCCCTCGCCACCCTTCCTTCCCTCTCCACCCCTCCTTCCTCGCCATCGTCCCTCCCCTCGACTCCCTCCTTTATTCTCTCTCCTTACTTCCCTCCTTCCCACTGCTTCATCGTAAAAAAAAAATATCAATGACATAAGAGCGGCGGTTCTTAACGTGTTACTAGTAAGGTAGAGAGACAAACAGTGGGAACTAGTGCGGCGTGTGAAGTGTGTACTGTAGTGAATGGCAATGACCCACACCAGGCAGGGGGATTCTTGTGACAGTCAGGATGAGGAGAGTGGGTGAAAGGTCGGATGTCTGGGATGGTTGGAATAAACAATGGATGGTTGGATGATGTGGGATGGTTGGAATAAACAATGGATGGTTGGATGATGATGTGGGATGGTTGGAATAAACAACGGATGGTTGGATGATGATGTGGGATGGTTGGAATAAACAATGGATGGTTGGATGATGATGTGGGATGGTCGGATTAAACAATGGATGGTTGGATGATGTGGGATGGTTGGAATAAACAATGGATGGTTGGATGATGTGGGATGGTTGGAATAAACAATGGATGGTTGGATAATGTGGGATGGTTGGAATAAACAATGGATGGTTGGATGATGATGTGCGATGGTTGGTTTAAACAATGGATGGTTGGATGATGTGGGATGGTTGGAATAAACAATGGATGGTTGGATGATGATGTGGGATGGTTGGAATAAACAATGGATGGTTGGATGATGATGTGGGATGGTTGGAATAAACAATGGATGGTTGGATGATGATGTGGGACGACTGGATTAAACAATGGATGGTTGGATGATGATTTGGGATGGTCGGATGCATGAAATGGTCGGATTAAGCAATGGATGGTTGGATGAAGTCGTAGGATAGTGGGATGATGTTGTGGGGATGGTTGGATAAGTTATGGAATGGTAGGATGAAGTTGTGAAATGATCAGCTGAACTTGCAGGATGGTCAAAAGAACATGAATCGTAAGGTATACGGACAACGGAGGGTCGGTATAAACTATAGAAGGAAGGTTCACAAGAGCCACAGAGGATGGCCCATCGAGAAAAAACAAAACATGACCTATACGGAAAGTTAACGAGGCATACATACTACACACCTATTAAACAACTGGCACACCTAACAACACCATTTACAAGGAAAAGGTGAACGTGATGACCTTAAAATCTGGGTCAATACCGGTACCTTATCTGTTCTTGGTTTCTGTCTAAAGATAAACGGGGCGACTTAAGAAAATGGGTCAAAATCATTCTTCACTATAAAGTTTCTGACCCATTTTGATATAAGGTACAATAATGAAATAAATAAATAAATAAATAAATAAAATAAAAATAAATAAATATATATATATATTATATATCTAAATACAAAAGTAAGCTTAAGCACTACACACACACACACACACACACACACACACACACACACACACACACACACACACACGGGAAAGGGGAGAAGGACAGACAGCGCTTACTACAGGGTCAGAACACACGGTGCCCTTATTAGTAACACTGAAGCGGAGTAATATCTCAGGTTTACGTGAGGAATAATGGGAACAGGAAATAAAAAAAATGGGGGGGGAGCATCTCAACATTACAACATCAAGGAGAGCAACAGTGCAACATGTCTACACCGCCGCAGCATCAGTAAACACAACACCACCTGCAACAACACAACACATCAACCACAACAACACAACAGCCTCAGCCACAACACAACACAACAGCCTCAGCCACAACACAACAGCATCAACCACAACACAACAGCCTCAGCCACAACACAACAGCCTCAGCCACAACACAACATAATCAGGAGAAACAAAAGTCCAGGAACATAAAAGAAAGCAAACACTGAAAGCCCGACACCCATGAACAGCAAAGGGAAGCAACACAGCATAAGTAGCAGCAACACAACACAAGTAGCAGCAACACAACACAAGTAGCAGCAACACAAGAGACAGTCGGGCAGCATGAAGACGAGTACCGGTAGCCCATCTACATACTGCTGAAGCTACTGAACAACATCCAGATCACTCAACCCAGCAGGGAGGCAAGCAGCAGGAGTCATGAAGCATCCGTGCAGGGGGTGGAGGAGAAGCCATCAAGCACAGGAGGTGGAGGAGGAGCCATCAAGCACAGGAGGTGGAGGAGGAGCCATCATGCACAGGAGGTGGAGGAGGAGCCACCAAGCACAGGAGGTGAAGGAGGAGCCATCAAGCACAGGAGGTGAAGGAGGAGCCATCAAGCACAGGAGGTAGAGGAGGAGCCATCATGCACCGGAGGTGGAGGAGGAGCCATCATGCACAGGAGGTGGAGGAGGAGCCACTTCAAGCACAGGAGGTGGGAGGGAGGTTTGGATGCATGAGGTGAGTGTGGAGGAGGAGCCACTGGGCACAGGAGGTGGAGGAGGAGCCATCAAGGAGGTGAAGGAGGAGCCATCAAGCACAGGAGGCAGAGGAGGAGCCATCAAGTGCACAGGAGGGGTGCAGGAGGAGCCATCATGTGCAGAGGAGGAGGAGTGAGGGAGGTTTCACTGGGCACAGGAGGCAAGGAGGAGCCATCAAGCACAGGGAGGGAGGAGGAGCATGAGGAGGTGGAGGAGGAGCCACCAAGCACAGGAGGTGGAGGAGGAGCCATCATGCACAGGAGGTGGAGGAGGAGCCATCAAGCACAGGAGGTGGAGGAGGAGCCATCAAGCACAGGAGGTGGAGCATGAACAGCAAGCACAGGAGGGGGGGTGGAGGAGGTAGCCTACAGCAAGCACAGGAGGTGGAGGAGCTAACAACCGCAGGGGGTGGAGGAACAGCAGGTACAGGAGGTGAAAGAGGAGGAGCCAGACAACACGGGAGGTGGAGGTGAAGGCCCAGATCCAGCACAGCAGGCAGTGGCGTGTGGAGGCCCCAGGGAGCCGTTCCGGGGGCGCTCAGACAAGCCGAGCACGCCCGAACCCCCGCGGGGGACACCCTCATTCCC